CGGTCTGGACATGGGATCCGAACCCTCGGTGGGAGCGCCACCGCGCTTCCCAAGTGGCGCACTGTAGCAGTGCGCCACCGGGCCGGCCCAACTACAATTTTTTTGAAGGTGTTACAACAAGCAAACGGAAAGGACATTCTAGGGTGGGAGGGGGGAGAGGGAAGAGGGAGGGAGGTTTCGGTGATGGGCCATAATAATCAACCACATTGTATATTGACAAAAGAAAAAAAAAAAAAAGAAATCCTTTTATAAAAATATGACATGTTGGCTTCTCAACTGGATGGCAAATGCCTCTAGGGAAGACATTATTTATTTGTATCCCCAGCAATATCATAAGTGGAACTCCTGTTTTATTAATATTAATTGATTGCATTGATAAGTAATACACAGAATAAATAAGCACTGAAGTGCATTATATAGCATGAATAAAGACTTGGATCTAAAATACATACTGCCAAGATGCAAGGAAGAAATATTTTAAAGCAGAGGTGCTATATTTGTATGTAGGCTATTTTAAAAAGCACTTAATCAATATTGAATTATATAATATTATTATATTTTCACACAGGAAAACAATTTGAGCATCATGAACACAGAATAGCTGAGAATTAGAAATTTCTTTTAAATTCAAGGACTTTCCCTGGTACATTATTTTAGTTTTATTCCTTTTCTTCATAACTCGTTTTTTCATTTATTTGGGGGGAGGGGTCATGTGTGGGGGTTTTTTTGTTCCGATTTTATTTCACATTTTATTCTATTAAAGTCATGTAACATTTTAATGTTTGCTACTACAATGCAAAGCCCGTGCCTCTTAAATAGTCCTAGAGTACACTAAAAAAAAAAAAAAAAAAAAAAAAAAAAATGGAAAGTTCTTTCCAAGAAAGACATCATTCCCAACAACTTCTGTACTCAAAGTATACTTTCTTATCACGTTGTTTTAAACTGTAGTTTCTCATGTGGAAAGCTAGACTGCTCTAACACGGTTTCCTGATGTGTGTGCTCATTAAGTCCATTTGAATCTTTTTAGGAACCTGATTCAGATCATTTCTCAAAATGACAAATACTTTTATGTTCTTTGAATGATTTAAATATCATTTAGCCACAGAAAAAAATATAATTGTTTTTTCCTAGAAATACTTAAAATGCCATCAAATTACCATCTAAAACGTTGATTAAACACACATACACACATATACACACACAGAGGAACTGAAAGTGGTTTAAGAATATTGATGTCAACAAATATGACTTCTATATTTTGTGTCTTTCAAGAAAACCCTTTGGGTATATTGAAATTCAGTATTCCCATTGTGCTGGGAAACATAACATCTTATGTGTGGAAGAAAATACTTCTATCTAAAAAATATATCTCAGGATTATTTCACTTTTCTAGTTTCTTGACAATAAATCTTCTCATGTGAAGTCTTTTCCAGAATGTGGAAGATATTATCAAAGTTATATAAAGATTTGATCAATAGCAGTGGAGAGATCCTGAGGCAGATACCAGCCAGCCCATTTCTCTTTCTTTCAGTTCTGTAAAGAAAGCCAATGTTGGTGCCTGCATCTTAATTCCTTCTATGTAAGTGGAGAAGCCACATAATTTATTAATGTAGGAGAAGCATCAGTTATTTCCAATGTTAAAGAATCCTTATCTCTATGCTCAGATTATTAGCAAAGTGGGTCAACCTGTCTTCTGAATCAACTGTAAATGAAATTGGCTAGATATCAGTCATTTCAGTGAAATTGTCTAGATTGACTCATTATCTGGGGGATAATCAAGATAGAGCACTTTCCTTTTAAGGTCAGATTCTACCATGGATAACTGAGCATGTGATTGGCTTGGTCAGGGCTCCAGCAGAGGGAAACATGGTTAACCTGAAATCTAGCCAACTTTCTGATTTTGCATAAATACTTATGCAAAGTAAAGTTTTCTCCACTGTCCTCACCCACACTGTGCTGCTCTTTCCTAAATGACTTAAGTCTACACTCTATATTTCTTCTTTTTTATTAGCACACTTTAATTTTTTTTTTTTTTTCGTGACCGGTAAGGGGATCGCAACCCTTGGCGTGGTGTCGCCCACACTGCACTCAGCCAGTGAGCGCACCGGCCATTCCTATATAGGATCCGAACCCGCGGCGGGAGCGTTGCTGCGCTCCCAGCACCGCACCCTCCCGAGTGTGCCATGGGGTCGGCCCAGTACACTTTAATTTTTAATGATTTAATGTTACTTTGGTTCATCCCAATTTTACACACCTTTCTATCATCCTTCCATTTTCCTCCCACCCTTTCTTTTTAAATAATGACCATTTCTAGAAGTAAATGACAGGCAATACATTGTTTAAAACCCGAGGAGTAAATGGGGGCACTAAGAAGCCTATATATAAAGCAAGATTTCTCTCACCCATAGTCTCCTTTATTGATGTGTTCGATCAATTCTGGACGAACAAGGCACACATGTTGGGAACATTTCCATTGCTGTCCTGAGCATGTGCTGCAAAGATATAAAAATTACTAAAGTGGCCTGGCCTTTATGGAGTACATTTCAAAATTAGTAACAAGAGTTACACATCATTAAGGCATAAAACATAATTTCTTGAGTAATGTTAGCCATATGGGTATTTGATTCTTGGCAAAAATAAATCCTAAAACATGCATTAGCTACCACCCAATGTGCTCTTGTCCTCTACTACAGATAATTAATAAATGATATGAACACACATTCATTGAAGTTTGAAAGCATAAGACCATTTGGACAGTAGATTTAATGTACATATATTTGGAAACATTCTAAATGTTTAATGTTTAATGGATAAAGGCTAATCCTTTTAAAGCAGCTTGTTTTTATATACCGTTATTGTGTTCAAAAAAAAAAAAACAATTTACCTGCAGTATATCAGAATGTTTATAATTAAGAGGTACAATTAATGCAATCCTATTGCATAAAGAAGGCCCATCATCAAGAACATCAAACAAAAGCAGTAAAAGATATATTCACAATTAAATTTTTAACATTCATTAAAATTAAATATGCTTATAAAAAGTTACAGGTATGTGATGTCTTATGAATGATTCTATTTTATGTATTTAAATAGATGCTTTGTTTCATAAATATTCTTTTTATTTGAAGAAAATATATACCGACAGTAGAATTTAGTTCTGTGCCACTTAAATTCATTACCAGGAGTTGCAGTTTTCTTTAATTACTGATCCTTCTTCATAATGTTGACCATCTCTGAAGCAACCTGTCAACATAACATGTAAACAAATGAAAATTCTAAATTGAGTAATAAAGTACATTATCATAACAGGTAATCTAAAATTATGGTTAGTTTTTATAATATGCAAAAGTATTTGGTAACAATCTGATAGAAATTAACATCTGGTTTGTGTCAAGGTTTATATGCCAAATTCTTTGCTTGTCCTATGAGGTTTTTATCTTTAAACTGCATATTATGTAACAACAGAGAGGATTTGTAAAGCATGAAAACTAGATTACTAAGAAAATAATCACTAACTGTGCTCAAAAAATAATTAATGTGTCTAATAAGGTAATCAAGATAACAGCATTTGAATCTATTTATGGCATTCCTCATTTTAAAAAACTAATCGGGTCTTATATGTGAGTATAATTAATTGCATATTACAAAAGAAAGTTGCTCATAGTTTTGGACCAAAATACAAAGCCATTTCATTGAATTTGCCTTATAAAGATAAATTTTACTTTTTCTTCAAGATTTGGGTCAAGAGAAAAATTCATGAAATCAGTAACATTGAAGCCATTTGACTTCCAAATCTCAATGATTCTCAAGTATTAACTGAAACTGATTGTTAACTGGTTTACCAGATTATATAAACTACTCAAAAGAGAACAATGGTGAATTATAATCGTAAGAAATCAGTAAGATATCATGAAAATAGTAACCTGGTTACAAATTAAATCTCTTTTGAAAATATAATTTGCACAATTTTAAAATTAACACTGAATTAGCAAAACGGATTCTACTTTGGTGAAATGTTATTTTCACAGAAATGTGTAATTGATGTATCACATCAATGGCTCCTAATTAAACAAAATAAATTCTAATCTTTTATTCATAAAACCATAGGGAGAAATATATGTTTAGAAAACATTTCAAGGGACCTGGCTTAACTGCTAGCCACAATGTCATAAAAGCTACTGATGGAATTTGCTGTCATTTGATTTTTCAAAAAATTGTTTCATAGGAAACGTTTCACAACAACCCCTCCTCAGCATGGACTGTGCTTCTCAGTTCAATGTTCTACTAGTGAATCTAATCTTTATGTATTTGCATCTATTCACCTCTTTCCCATGGATTTCTGACACTCTACACTCATGGGATGAGAGAAGGAAACCAGCTCTTACCTGACCATAGGATTTTTATTTTTAATTTTAATTTTAATTTGTTTTTGCTTATCCATAGAGTTTATTATATTGAAACAACTTCTATGAGGGACAACCTGGTAATATCTATCACAATTACAAATATAAATATCCTTTATCACAGCAACCTCATTTTTAAGTCATGTGTCTTATAGCAGCACTTGCCCACATACAAAATGATGTTTGTACAAGGTTGTTTGAAGAATTGAAAACAATCCAGGTGCCCATCAATAGGGAACTGATTAAATAAACTATGATATGCCATACAATTTAATGGAATATCATGCAGCTGTATAAAAGAAAAAATAAATATCTCTGTTTTGATATGGAAAAATCTCTAGATATGCAGGATATATTGTTAGGAGAAAAAAAAGCAAGGCATTGGTTTGCAATATAGATTGAAATATATAGTGCATGCTACCTTTGTGTAAAAAGGAGATTCATAAGAATGTATATTCATATTTGCTTTTATATATCAGAAGTATGTACAAGAATCTAACACAAATGAATTTCTAGAGGAAGCAGCAGGGTCAGGAACAGTTCTGTGAGCAAACCAGACCACAGGCACTTTAATTCAGCAAACTCAGGAGAGGGAAATGATTTAACTTTAAATCAAGTTCAGAGTTTTAATTAATACACAGGTCTAGAGATTTTAATAACTGAATTGACACTATGCTTGTAACTTAAAGAGACCCTAGAACTTTTTCTTACCTAAGAGCAACGAAAACTCATGCAAGAATCCAAGTTTTCATTCAAGGACAAGAGAAGTACTTCCCTGACCATTTTTAAAGGGTGAGTGGAGGACAAAGGCAAACTTGATTTTTAATCATACCTCATAGATCTTGAGTGTTCAACATAACAGTTACATGGATAAAGGGAACAGAAGTCACAAAGTTTCTATACGAAAAAAGATTGTCCTTTCTCTGACTTGTACTCCAGCTAATGATTTTGAAGCCGAGAGAATGCCACCACCAGGCCATCCCCAAATCGGTAGCACTAATCTAATGTTAATAAAAGCTCCATTTCTTGGTCATCTGTCCTTAATATCAAGTCAGAGCTAACTATGAGAAATGACATTCACTTTAATCTCACTTCGGAAACGGTCTCTTGAACAAAAATCATAGTCATCATATGTGACCTTGACCAAGGTGTGACACAGTGAAACATGGTCTTCTACACAATGCGGAGACACAGTCCACTCACTCCTCTGCCACACTCCTCCTCAGCTCCAAAGTATCCCCCATGCAGCATTTAGGGAGATCTTTTAAAACATGCAACATGTCACTTTCTGCTTAAAATCCTCAAGTTGTTTCCCATCAAATTTAGAATAAAATCAAACTTCTTACCATGACCTATAAGGGCTTACCCAAAATGTCTCTGCCTTAATCTCTGTCCTCATCACTCCCAGTGTGCTGGCTAGAATGGAGGCTCCCAGGTGAATGAACGCTTAGCATGATAGTAGTGAGGAAAGAGGAGTGGATAGATATGATTTGGTAATAAAGCACATGAAACTCTCTCACAAATTGAATTTAGAAGAGGGATCAAGGATATCTCATTGGGATTGTGGCTTTAGCAATAGAGGAGTGGTGAAACTATTACTGAAATAAGGAACAGGTTTGCTGCAAGAAATGAAGAGTTCTGCTTTGTATATTTTGTATTTGGATTAAATCTAGGTTAGACATTGTAACGGAGATGTCAAATAGACAGTAGTTTATTGAAGTCCAGAGTTAGGCCAAGTCTGGAACATGAATTTGGGAGACACCAACATACAAAACGTTTGTGGAAAATAGAATTAAAAGTGAATACAAACATTTCATGAACTTTTTGAAGTATGTATATATATATTTTATTTTTTTTAACCTGATACTAAATAAGAGAAATAAGAGTCTGTTGGAGGTAAGAGATGTGGAGAGTTTGTAGGTAAGAGAAAATGGTCAAGAACTGAGCTCAAAACATTCCAGCTGACAGACATTCAGAAGGAGAAACTGGGGGAAAGAGGCCTAAGGAAGCTGGGAATGTAGGAGAGGGGGCCATGGAAAGCAGGAGAAGAAAGTATTTCATACAAATGAAGCAGCCAGCTGTGCACAGTACTGCTGAGAGGTCAAGGGAAAGAAAACGACATCTGAATATCACATTTGGTAATGTGGACGACCTCGACGACCCTGGCAAGATAGATTTCAGTGAAGTAGCAGGAAGTGATGTCCTGTAGGAACAGGTCGATGAGAGACTTGGAAGTAAAGAAGCAAAAATTTTCTTTCCGATATTTTGTCATAAAAGGGAAGAAGGAAATGGGAATATAGCTGGTGAAAGACACTAATCAAGGGAGTGCTTTTTTAAAGCTGAGAGATACAAAAGCACATTTTGTAAATTGTAAATTGATGGTTAACTTAGGAGAGAAGTGGGGAAATGATGCTTAGGACACAGGGAGAGAGAAAGAACTGTAAGGGTGAAGATCTTGAGAAGACAAGAGAAGATGGGATTCAGAGCCTAAGAGGGGGAATCGATTCTGCAAAAGCAGTGACCCAGACGGAGGTAGGTTGAAAAGCCTGAGGATAGTGGAGAGATGAGAGATTTCACATCTGCTAACTTTATTTTCTTAGTAAAATATGTATGAATCACCTCAGAGTGAGTTAGTTAAATTGATTACACACATAGCATCTTGACCAAAAAAAAAAAAAAAAAAAAAAAAAACAGCAAAACAAAACAAAAAACTAGTGACTAGAAATCAAGGGAGTTTTGCAACTTTAACAGGCTTTAAGACAAAATCAGGCAAATCAGATATTTTGAAAGTGAAATAGTTTGTCTTACTGATTTGAGAAAAGATGATAATATGATGTCTGTAATTTATTTTAAAATACTTCAGTACAGTGTGTTATAAAAATCTGTGCTGGTCTAAAATTCACTGCAGGAAAGGCAATTACTTGTCCTAATCAGAAATCCACACCCCAGGAGTGGTCAGTAGCCTTCATTCTGGAAGGCCAGACTTCAAGGCAGTCACTGCAAGTGCTTCCACTATCCATATTTTGATCAACACTAGAGCATTAGTATAATGAATGTCAGAAATGGGCCTTCATTGGTAAAATTAGTGGCTTATTAATCAGAATTATGGATATAAGTAATCACCTCTCACTGGTTAAGTTAGTAGTATTCAGTCTATGTGAATGAGCTAGAATGTTTCAAAGTCTTGCCTCACCCTTTTATCCCACCATTTACTGTATGTGTACGTATCGCTATGGTCAAAAGCCTGCAGTCTTAGACCTGGTGCCCTAGGGATGATCTTTGTCCTGTGTCCTGTGTTCAGTTACTAGCTAGGAGGATTCCCTGATATCTGCTGTAAGAGTAATAGAGTCCTACCTCTGCAATATTGTCACATGTGCCTCCAATAATCTTTTCATGCAACACGGACATGGGAACACCCAAAAGGACAAGAACTTGAGACTTCGTGAAGCTTACAGAGGTTGTATGAATCGGTTTGTGTCTTCTTACCAATATACATTTTTGTAACTGTCAGTATGAGTGGCAGAGTTTGGACTGTGATTTATCTTCCTTATAATATGGCTAAGGAAGTTGTGAAGGAGTAAATAAACCTCATCCAATTCAAATTTGTCAGTGGCTTACAGGCATTCTTTTACCACAGTGAACGTAAGAATTGTGCGTAATCAAATTAGGTTTAGGTCTGTTCACAACAGATGGTATACTAGACTCTTTCCTTAAAATCTACTACACTAAAAAATTGCATTTAGAAAATCTACGCTGGCTGTGTTTCAGACTCTATCACTGGTTTTCTGTATCTGACATTTGAAATCGTCAAATTCCTGGAAGTTACCATCAGATATCAGG